GCTCAGAGTCTGCGACTCCCTCCCGATTGTTTGCTCCGCGCCGCGCCGCCAGCCCCGCTCCGCGCGCACTCTGTACCTGAGAATTTCACTTCAGCACTGCGGCTCCTCTGAGTCTGGATATAATATTCTCTTTACTCCTAGTTGTAGAATTTCCACTCAGCCAGCCCTCCTGTGGCTCTGGATGTTGTCCTTTCCCTGGTTCAAGCTTAATTTGAATTGGTTGTTCAAGGCAGCAATCTCTGGTGTTAACCTATGCCGCCATCTTCGGTTCCTCTATCCTCCACTCACTTTTTAAAAAAATGTTATTTGTTGAAAGGTTATTTGTCTTGTGGAATGTCCCATATTCTGGATTTGGCTGATTTGCTTTCTCATGGTATCATGTAATATATTTTGCTATCATTCATATTTCTTGTAAACTTATAGTTAGATTTACAGGCTTGATTAGAAGAATCAGGTTCTATTTGAGTACTTCATATGTGATGCATTGTGCTCCTGTTATATCACAACTTGAGGCAGAAGATACTCTGTCTCTTTGTAATGTTAAGGTTGGTCAGGGTTTAGATCAGGGGTGGGCAAACTTTTTGACTCGAGGGCCACAATGGGTTCTTAAACTGGACTGGAGGGCCGGAACAAAAGCATGGATGGAGTGTTTGTGTGAACTAATATAAATTCAAAGTAAACATCATTACATAAAAGGGTACGGTCTTTTTTTTTTTTTTTTTTTTAAGTTTTATTCATTTCAAACGGGCCGGATCCGGCCCGCGGGCCATAGTTTGCCCATGGCTGGTTTAGACAGTGCCAGCCTGATCTACCCATTAAAGCATCCTCATTGGCCTCTTACCTAATGGTTTCAGCAGCCACTGAGAATCTTTGCCCCAATCCCTTATTCATATCATCATTTCTTCTGTATTTATTAGTTAGAAATGTTATAAAGAGCTTCCCCTCATCAAATATTCAGTTCCTCTGAACTATAGTTTATGGAGGAGGAACAAGATAAATGCTGGGCTCTTTGCCTTTCTTTATTATTTGTGTTTAATTTATAGTAATTTGTGTGTTTTCATGTTGTTGTTTTATTTGGTAGCTAGTCTAGATGACCTGAGTCTTTCTGATGTAGTATGGGTAAATTCTCTTTTTCATCCTTTTTTCCTCATTTTATACCTGTAGAATTTAGCCAATTCTGTAATCTATTTTGAGAGCTTGGTGTTTATTTCTTTATCTACTCTATTGTAGCTTGAGGATACAGGATGGGTAACAGCTGATTGTATGTGAGTGTTGTTGTCACATAGGGTTATTTCTACCTTGTCAGGAAAGTATCCTATATAATAAAGAGCTAATATGCAAATGGTTGACATGCCCTCGCGCTGGGGCCAGGGGACCTGAGGCCATGCCCCCTGCCCCGGCGCCAGGGCCATGGGACCTGAGGCCATGTTCCCCGCCTGGTGGGGCTTGACAGGGACCTGAGGCTGTGCCCCCTGCCCTGTGGGGCTTGATGAGGTTGGGGCTGGCCAGGTCTGGGTCTTGCGTGATTTCAAGGCTCACACAGGTGTGCAGGGACTTGACTCTGGGTCCCACGGCATGCTGACTCTTGTATTATAGAGAAAGGGCAAATAGCAATATTAAAATATTTCCTGTAATTAAATTCCTTTTAATGTGCACGAATTTTGTGCACCCGGCCACTAGTCTATATATATAAAAGGCTAATATGCAAAGTGTCCCCTTGGGAGTTCGACCACTTGCTATGATGTGTGCTGACCACCAGGGGGTGGCGCGGAATGAAGGAAGGTCCTGGCTGGCAGCCAGAAGGCCCTGATCAGCCCTGATTGCTGGCCAGGCCTAGGGACCCTACCCATGTACGAATTTCATGCACTGGGCCTCTAGTCTTCTTCATACTCTTCAACTTTGGGTTTCCCTGATTTAGTGTTGAAGCCTAGACAATGTTAAGCCCTGGCAGTTCTTGCCTTTGTGGAAATCTTGCAGTGGTAGTTAGGGACATTTTTTCTCCTATCTATTTTCCTTGACTTTTCCTGGGTCTGCTGTCTTACGCTCCCAGCCTTGAGAATTCATAGTTAGATTGATTTACCTTCTTTTTTCAGAACTTTCTTTGGAGTGAGGGTGGGGTTAGAAGCCTATGAAACTAGTATCTTATTTCTTTGCTTGGCTGCTACTTTTTGAACTTGATGGCAAGAAGTCATACCTCTTCCTGTTGAAATTGGTTATTTTGCTGGCTTTTTACTGTTTATTATTATAACAATTTTTTATTTCATTATGCTTTGGGGCAGAGAAAGTATCTGATATCCTTTATTCTTTACTTTGCCTTCTTCCCTATAATAATTTTATATTTGTTTGATTGCAGAAAATGGGGAGAAGGAGCCCCCAACAACACTACTCTGGGTTCAGTATTTCCTGGCACAGCACTTTGATAAACTTGGGCAATATTCTTTGGCTCTGGATTATATTAATGCTGCAATTGCTAGTACTCCAACTCTAATAGAATTATTCTATATGAAAGCAAAAATTTACAAGGTAAAATCATAAACATATTTTTTGAATAATTGAAAAACTTAACCACTTAAGAACTCTTGGAGTTATTTTTCTGTAGAAATAACTTTTGTGGAACCCTGATAATCTATTTCTAATACTCTAATAATCCTAAAGAGTTTTAGTTTGCATATTTTTATGCTCAGTGTTAGTCATTTGATTCAGCTCTTAGTAAGTGTGAGTTTTAATTTATCTAAAGATTTCTAGATAAATTTTACAGAAATGGCACCAAATTTCTAATTTGTTTTTCTAAACTGTTGTTATTTGTATTGTATCCATATTCTCTTAATCATAAACTATAATTTCTGTAATATTTTAATCTCTTAAAGCATATAGGTAATCTCAAAGAAGCTGCAAAGTGGATGGATGAAGCACAGTCTTTAGATACGGCTGATAGATTCATAAATTCCAAATGTGCAAAATATATGCTTCGAGCAAATATGATAAGAGAAGCAGAGGAAATGTGCTCCAAGTTCACAAGGGTAGGAAATAGCATGTAATGATGAGTCAGTAAAATTAAACTTCACTACTGTGGTGATGTTTGAAGTTTGCCACTAAAGTTCTTGAGAATTCATTTTTGTTATTTTTTTAAATCCCATTTAGCTTGTATCCTATGTATGGTTTCTTACAGAGGAGGTTGAGTGTGTGTGTGTGTGCATGTGTTTCTGGGGGGAATGGTTAAAAAACAATAGCAGGAGCATACCTGATTAGGTGGCTCAGTTGATTAGAGCATCCTTCCGTAAACCAAAAAATTGCGTGTTCGATTCCCAGTCAGGGCACATGGAAACATACCTAGGGTTTTTTTTTGTTGTTGTTGTTGTTGTTTTTTTAATATATTTTATTGATTTTTTACAGAGAGAAAGGGAGAGATAGAGAGTTAGAAACATCAATGAGAGAGAAACATCGATCAGCTGCCACCTGCACATCTCCCACTGGGGATATGCCCGCAACCCAGGTATATGCCCTTGACCGGAATTGAACCTGGACCCTTCAGTCTGCAGGCCGACGCTCTATCCACTGAGCCAAACTGGTTTCGGCAAACATACCTAGGTTTTGAGTTTGATCCCCAGTCAGGGTGTGTATAGGAGGCAACAAATCGGTGTTTCTCTTACATAGATTTTTTTGTTTGTTTTTTCCTTTTTCCTCTCTTCTCTCTCTTCCTCTCTCTCTCTAAAATCAGTAGAAACATATCTGTGGGTGAGGATTAAAAATAAAAAAGCATTAGCAGAAGCAACCTAACTTTATACAAAAACTAGAGGCTCGGTGCACGAAATTCATGCATGGGTGGGGGGGTGTCCCTCAGCCCGGCCTGCATCTTCTCCAATCTGGGACCCCTCGTGGGATGTCTGCCTGCCAGCTTAGGCCCTGTCGCAATCTGGGATCCCTTGCTCCTTACTGCTCGGCTCGCTGCTCCTTACTGCTCCTTATGTCTTATGGCTGAGCGGTGCTCCCCCTGTGGGAGCACACTGACCACCAGGGGGCAGCTCCTGCATTGAGCGTCTGGCCACTGGTGGTCACTATGCATCATAGCAACTGGTCGTTCTGGTCGTTCTGCCATAATGGTTGATTAGGCTTTTATTATATAGACTGCTATTGTCATAATACTTGAGACTATAGTTGTAAAAGAGAAAATGAGATATTTTGAATCTCTTTTATTACTTGCTTCTTATATTAATGAATGCTTCTTTTTTAGGAAGGAACATCTGCCATGGAAAATCTAAATGAAATGCAGTGTATGTGGTTCCAAACAGAGTGCATTTTAGCTTATCAGCGTTTGGGGAGATATGGGGATGCCTTGAAAAAATGCCATGAAGTAGAAAGGGTAAGTTGATAGAATTTTGACTTTATTTTTCTCTTGTAAAGTGATGGAAAAAAGCAGTTATTTTTCTACATGGGATCATCTACCTTTTGTATCTACTTTGGAAATTTCACTGTGAAAATTCTTGACCTTTAGTCTTTCAAACATTCAGAGGTTGTGAATAAATGATTGCTTTTGTTTATCCTCATATGGTTATGATTTCAACATCTCCATATTTTTGTCTACAGGAAGAAGTAAAGGATTAATTTAGTCAGTCATTATTGCTATTAATAACATATATTCAAAATCTCTATTCCCTAATCGGGCCATTATTTGATTTTCATTACTAGCCTAGAAGGACACACTTTTCCCTTTATGTCAGGATCTGCTCAGTAGTCAGCCTCTCTCCAGTTTGTCTTCCCGGGATATTTGTTCTCACATTCAGTACTTTGTACAGCAGTCTGTGACTGATTTGCAGGCTTATTTTTATTACTTGCTTTTAGGATGATGTGTGTGATGTGCCTTAGTGAGGGGCCTTTTCTTTTCCTTTGTGTGAATTTTGTTTCCTGTTCTTTGTCATCTCTGAAGCACTCTCCTTCCAAATGGACAACAGGAGGAAAAGAGCCACAAATGCACCCCTGAGGCAGTCCTCAGCAGCCCTAAGTTGGGCTCAATCGGCACCACTGTTCCCATGCTGACGCAGTATTAAACCGCAGGCATCATAGTCAGGTGAGCCTGAAGTCTGCACTCTGGCAGTCACTTTGGCCTTTTTCCCATATGAAATTTCTGAGGTTACCCAAAGGAAAGGCTAAATTTTAGGGGGTGGCTTTTGATGGGAACTTGAGCTAGGATTATACCTGAGCCCTTTTATAAATAATCTAGTTTTTGCTTTGTTTTCTTTTTAAGCCTGGGCTTGATGGTTATATCTCTGGGAACTATTTTCATCTCCTTGAAAATATAAAGCCCTTGGATAATAAGTGAACTATTCAGGAAATATCCAAATATTGTGTAAATCAGGCTCTTCTGTGATACAAACGTAGATCACTAGCTTGATGACTGTTACTTTTTAAAACATTGTAATTAGGAAAGATCCATTTTTCATTAACCAAGACATTCTTGGTGAGAGACAGATTGTTTACTTATGGATCAGTAATTCCAGCAGGACCATAACTGGAAATTTATTAGATTTTCTGTGAAAATGAAATTTTAATATCCTTAGGATTGTTATAATTATGAACTTTCTGGCTTCATTCTATTCCTCCTAACATTAATAACTATATTACTAATTGCTTTTTAATATTTTTGAAGGTTGTTAGACTATGATTTCATTACTAGGTTTTATTTAGATATTTTACCTTGAATTTTTAGTGATTTTGGCTGAGTAACATGAAGTAAAATTCTGTAATGTCAGAGATTAAGTACAATTGACACTTGAACATTGAGGGCCCTTGGGGCGCTAACCCCTTTGCAGTTGAAAATCATCGTATAACCACTGTCTGTCCTTTGCATATGTGGATTTCAAACCATGGATCAAAAATAGACTTGATCTTTGAACAACATGGGTTTGAACTGCACAGGTATTCTTTATACACAGATTTTTAAAAATTATAAAAACCTATGTTCAAGAATCAGCTGTACTTCTAGTTCAAAAAACATGATTTGACAAAGCATTTTTGAAGAAAAAAAGTATAGGAAATCATTGGTTGAGATTAAAACAGGGCAAAAATCATAACCATCTGGTCATTGTACATAATTGTTATTGCTAGAATCTCTATTGTATTTAGGATTTGCCTTTGGTGCTTTAGAGTAGAAGAAACTAGAAGCAGATAAACAAGAGCCTATTCTTATGTTACTTGTTAGTCTTTTCATAGTGAATTCATACTGAAAATAAGACGTAACTCATCTAGTGATTATATGTGAGTGCCTAATACAAATAGGGTGATTAAAACTTGTTGACTGACTCTGCTTCTAAAATTAATTTCTAATACAATTAATGTAATCTAAAAAATTCTTAATGATGTAATTGTAAGGATTTAGGAGTAATTACTAAATTAAAAGATTTATTATGATAGGTATCTGCATGAGTTACTTTTGTTCCTGAGTTTAAAATACTTTAGTAAAGAAATGATCCCTTTCAAAAATAAAACTTTGTAGTTTACTCTCTAAATAAAAGGTCAGTTAATAGAGAAGTTCAAATAAGGGGCTAAGTCTTGTGCCTTTTAGAACTCCTTCCAGCATTCATTCTTTGAGGCAGTTTCAGTTGGGATACATATTGCTGTGAGCGCTTACTAACTGGATTTGAAATGTTAGAATTCTAGAATGGCCCAGTGTAGTACTTTTTCTGTCTTTATCTTGCCCCCCTTATAGGATTTTAGGATTATGTATACAGGTTATATAGAGAGAGTCTAACTCAATATGATGTTTAGAAGTTGAGTTTTATTCAACGCAAAGCAAAACAACTGTCTTTAAAATATTGGATATAAACTTGTGCTCAGAATAAAATTTTAAACTATTTTATCTTTCAAGAATTGAATTTTTGCCTGGCCGGCGTGGCTCAGTGGTTGAGCATCAACCTGTGAGTCAGGTGATCATGGTTTGATTTCTGGTCAGGGCACATGCCTGGGTTGCAGGCTTGATGTCCAGTAGGTGTGTGCAGGAGGGTGGCCAATCGATGTTTCTCTCTCAATGAGGTTTCTATCTCTCTCTCCCTCTCCCGTCCTCTCTCTATAAAATCAATTAAAATTATTTAAATGTCTGACCTGAATTTTCTTTTCCCGTTTTTCAGATTGATTTTATTTTAGTGTACTGATTTGTATCTGAAACAGAGCAACAATACATATTTCGAAAACTTTTTGATAAGATGTAGGATTTCTGATAGCTCACAACTATAGGAAGTTCATAACTTTTATCTTCTAGTGCATCCTAATCTTTATCAAATTGACACATGCTTTATAATGGCAGATTCTCTCTATATAAAGAAAATAGTGTTGCTTATTATCCTCTTTGGTCTAGTTATTACTATATTTTAATTCCAGAGGTTTTTGTTGTATTTCTGTGTGTGGGTTCTTATTAGTCTACTCCAGTAACTCTGAGAAGGAATGGGTAGATGAATCTGGGTCAGAAGCGAGGGCCTCATAGCAAATGCCTAATGAAAACCACACTCTTAAGCTCTGAATAGTATTTCTTCTTTGCTGACTTGTCTTACTTTGATTCAAGCAAACTTTGGAATTTAAGCAATTCCTGCATTACTACTTCCTATCACTAAGAAAAAGGAAGAGAAAGAACTAGTGTTTATGATGATGGGAGCATTGAGTTAGGGCATAAACAGTATGTTAAAATTTGGGTACCTAGAGTCTATGGCAGCCGTGGGCAAACTACAGCCCGCGGGCTGGATCCGGCCCGTTTGAAATGAATAAAACTAAAAAAAAAAAAAAAGACCGTACCCTTTTATGTAATGATGTTTAATTTGAATTTATATTAGTTCACACAAACACTCCATCCATGCTTTTGTTCCGGGCCACCGGTCCAGTTTAAGAACCCATTGTGGCCCTGGAGTCAAAAAGTTTGCCCACCCCTGGTCTATGGTGAGCTAAGTGATCTTATCATGTTCATGTTTGATCAAAGTGCAGGAAAACTAACTTTATCTGTTTGTGTTACCTAGTATATTTTTATGTTTTATAAATTTGGAGATCTGAAAGTCAACCCAAGATGTGGTACAAGGGAAATATTTGTGGTAATTATACATTATGTATCTTGATTGTGGTATTGGTTACTCGAATCTAAAAAACTGTACACACAAGTTGTACCAATGCCAGTCTTTTGGTTTTGATATTGTATTATAGTTATGTAGGATGTAGCCTTTTGGGGGAAACTGAGGGAAGAGTGTATAGAACATCTCCATACTACCTTGCAACTTCCTCTGTATCTATAATTATTCCAAATAAAAAGTTAAAAAATAGAAAATCAACCTAAGATTATTTAGTTGTTTTTAAGTAGGATTCTCCAAACATGGTTTCTTCCAAAAGCAAAATTATTTTGTAGTACCTATGTTTTCAAGTTTAATCTAGTCATATCTGATCTACCACCATTAGTTTATTTATTATAGAGTGATCAACATTCAAGTTTGGAGGGCTCAGCAAGTTCCTGAGACACAAGGTTTTCAGTGGAAAAACTGAAAGCCTCAGGCAAAGTGGATAAGTTGGTTACCCTATTTATGGAAGACATTAACTGGAGAGAGGCAGCCTGTGGGCTGTTACTGATAAAGAGGAGGCTTGAAATGTTTGTGATTCCTTCTGAGACTTGACTTAAAAAAATCTATGTTTACTAATGCTGGTAGGAATATCTCTTGAAACGTGCTGCTTCTCAGCCTAAAAAAGGTCCTGTAACCTCTTAAAGTTTTTATCTCCATGAATTTTGGCACTGCAGTTTTCCTTAGTCAGTTTTATTGAATTTTAAGATATTCTTACTGTGCTAGACATAACTTGATTGACATTAAGGAAGATCATGAACAACTTTATGAAATATATAATTCTTTTTTTAAAAAAACAAGCTTGCTATTTATGAATTGGTTTGTGTTATTGATGGGAGGAATGCAATTTTCACATATAATAACATTAAAGCATGATTCTTGAAGTAAATAAAACTAAAATGTTCATTTTTTTCTGTTGTGTACATTTTCCACATTGTGTACTTCTTATCTTAAAATTCTTTTAAAATCTCAGGTACTTAATGTAATTCTGTGTATGGTGTGTTTCTAATTACCAAGACAACTAAAATTATCAAATGATATGGACACTAATGTGTCTTCTGCATGGTGAGTTACTAGGCCCCAGGATAGAGGGAATATGAAGGGTAGAAGAGCTTGCTCTGTATTGGTGTGTTGAATCATTATTTTTTCTGTTTTTGGAGAAGCTAGTAGAAAAGTAGGAGGGGAAAAAAAAGCAGGCAGAGATGCATGTAGGGAAGAAAATAAAAGTATAAATTGTTTCTAGGGAGTTAATCTTTCTATGTAAGAGATTGGTGCTTAAACTTTTGGGGGGCCATGGACCCTTTGAAATTAGATGAAAGCTTCAAGCTCTTTCCTTAGGAAAATGTTATTAGGTTTATACATAGGCTTCAGACTAAGAACCTTTGCTAAAATGGAATGCAGGTAGATTAATGGTAGCTTATTGAGCGAGAGAAACCTATAATGCTCTGTTTGTATAGCAGTTCACAGTTTAGAATGAACTTTAAAGTATGCTCTTATTTGATCTTTAACAACCTTATGAAATTGGCAATATAGATGTTATTCCTAACTTAAGTAATCGAGGATCTAGATAATTGAGGTCACATGCCTGATCAGCACCTGGTCTCTTGAATTGGCCAATATTGTGCTTATTGAGTGTCTGCTGTGTTGGGCCTTGTGCTAGGCAGTAGAGATAGACATGACAAGGCCTACTCTTGAAGAGCTCATAGTTGAGCAGAGCAGTTTGATTTGTAGACATTTTGTGTGAATCTATAGTCTTCAGTCAGAGCTGTTTAACTCTGCCATGCCAATGTTTAGAGAATACCGAGGAGAAATGTTTCATTAAAACTAAAATATCAGTACATGCTAATTTCCAGGCTTAAAAATCTGACTTATTACATAGAAATTGAGTATCATCACAAAACATGATTTCTAGTGAATGATCATCAATTGTAGAAAGAAACTTCAGTTATATGCAAAGAACTTGTTATCCTTCATAGTGTTAAACACTGAAGAGGGCAAATAAGTGAAATTGTGACTGTTAAAAATGTTTTGGGGGCTTTTTATGATTTCCTTTTCAGAAGTAGACATTATTGACAATGTAAGAAATAATTTTGTGGTTTTGTTTTTAAGCATTTTCTTGAGATAACTGATGATCAATTTGACTTCCATACATACTGCATGAGAAAGATGACTCTTCGTGCCTATGTTGATCTTCTGAGATTAGAAGATATGCTCAGAAGACATGCCTTCTATTTCAAGGCTGCTAGATCTGCAATTGAAATATACTTGAAATTGTATGATAAACCCTTAACCAATGAAAGCAAACAACAAGAAATAAATTCAGGTAACTGAGAAAGAACTATTTTTTAAAATTTGGAAAGAACACTACATTTAAGAATGTTATTAGTATAAACAATCCATAGAAAAGTACATTATCAAATGGATGTGAAGACTGTGTGTGTGTGTGTGTGTGAGAGAGAGAGAGGGAGAGAGAGAGAGAGAGAGAGAGAGAGAGACAGAGAGAGAGAGAGAGAGAGAAATTGGGGGAAGTTTTAGAAAAAGCAACAGGATTATGTTCTGTAGCTAATGCTTCTTAATCACCCCAATGCAATGACTTGGAATCTTTATTTTTATCTTCAGTAAGGCCAATTCAGGAAAAATAGAAATGTCTATTGGCTAGGCTCTTTACATTATTATTATTATTATTATTATTAGTTTGTAATTGAAAAAGGCTTTGAGCTCCTTAGGGAAAAATAATTATTCTTACAACTTCTAGTATCTAATAATGCTAATGAGAATATATAGCTTTTATTCACTAAAATGTTAATATCTAGGAATATTTGAAAAATAGCATAGAGGCAAGTTTCTGATCTTTTATTTGTGATATTTATGTGGTGTCTAGAGATCATAAGTGTGCTTATATACACTGTCTTATCCTTGAAATACTCTTAAGAGAGTAGTTGGTATCATCAGCCCCAAAAAGCTATATTAATAGTTTGTATTGTATAAGAATATGAGAAAAAATGGAAACATTGACTCAGAATGTTTATGCATTTGGATATTTATAGAAAACCTGTCAGCTAAAGAATTGAAGAAAATGCTTAGCAAGCAGAGAAGAGCTCAGAAAAAGGCTAAATTAGAAGAAGAGAGAAAGCATGCGGAAAGGGAACGTCAACAAAAAAATCAAAAGAAAAAAAGGGATGATGAAGAAGAAGAAGCCAGTGGTCTCAAAGAAGAACTTATACCTGAAAAATTAGAAAGGGTGAGATGAATTTATTATGTTAATTTGGTAAAATGTTCTGTTCTGGCTATAAACATGTTTTATTTAAATTTATAAATCAGAAGCCATTTGTAACATTTTTAAAAAATATATTTTTATGATTTCAGAGAGAGAGAGATAGAAACATCAATGATGAGAGAGAATCATTGATTCGCTGCCTCCTACATACCCTCTACTGGGGATCAAGCCTACAACCTGGGCATGTGCCTTTGACCAAAATTGAACCTGGGACACTTCAGTCCGCAGGCCAACGCTCTATCTGAAAGAATAAAAAATGCTACAAGCCACACAAACTTCCCAGGCTTCCCCCGCTACAGACAGGAATAGGGGGAGCGCGGGCCTTGGGGCTGTCCCTGGAGATAGCCAACCATTGAGATAAGCAGGTTGTAAAAATACCAGGCAGGAGTGAGGAGTGAATTTCACGCCCTATCAAGCCATTTGGAATTTCTTTGTTCTCCTTACTCCCTCATGCATGCAACCCCTCCCCAACGTGTAATTTTTGCTATAAATATCTGGAAAACTCTCTGCTCGGGGCCCAACTCCGCTCCTGCGTGAGTTTTGAGTTGAGCCCCAGCGCGCTGGAATAAAGCCTCTTGCTGTTTGCATCAAGTGACGTCTCCTGCGGTTGATTGGGGTCGTCGTTGGTCTGCAGGGCAGAGTGAGGGTCCCATTTCGGGGGTCTCACATATCCACTTAGCCAAACTGGCTAGGGCCATTTGTAACATTACAAATGATATGCTATAAATAATTTTTGAGTGATAATATGTGAATTTTGCTAATGCATATTATACATAGAACTAGGGGCCCAGTGCACGAATTCGTGCACCTTGAAAGGAACTGTGGGCTGCGAGGCTGCGGTGGGCACAGGGGTGGGTCTCAGACCATCCTTTGTGCTCCTGCCCAGCTCCTCTGGTCTTGATCCCCAGTTCCCTCTCTGCCAGCAGCCCCACTCCCACCACCACTGCTCCCATGCACTGACAGCACCAGCCCCGCTTGCACCCACTGACAGTCCGGAGTGATCGTAGCCGGCGCTAGCACCAGTGCCAGCCGGCGCTGTCAGCAGGTGTGAGCATCAGCTGCTGCCCTGATCGCCCCTCAGGAGCAGGGGGAGGTGGAGAGCCCTCAGGGGCGATTAGGGCCAGCATCTGTGCTGAGTGATCGGGGCCAGCACCGGGTGCCAGCAGTGGGTGCGAGTGGTGGCTCCGGCATCAGCAGCGGGTGCAAGCACCAGGTGGGACTGCGGCATGTGGGAACAAAGCATTTTCAGTAACCACCAGAGGCTCGCCCAGATGACAGTGACCGGCGCCCCACCTTGGTCTGGCGCTGCTGCTCACCTGCTCCACCATCCTGCTGTGGCTGATGCCCACCACGTTTTACGCTCTGTGGCCTGCTGCCGACACCTGCCATGTTCCGCACATGCCCCCTGGTGGTCAGTGCATGTCATAGCCACCGGTTGTTAAGTTGTTCCACCATTCTGTCTATTTGCATATTAGGGTTTTATATATATATAGATTGTAGTTGTGGTAGGCAGAATTATGACCCTCCAAAGGTGTCTGTGTTCTAAACCCTGGACCCTATGACTATATTAAATTTACATGGCAAAGGGGAATGAAGGTGGCAAATGGAATTTAAGGTTATAATTAGCTGGCCTTAAGATGGGAGATTAGCCTGGATTATCCAGGTGGGCTTAATGTAAATTCACAAGAGGCCCTTAAAAGTGGAAGAGGAAAGAAGGTAGGAGTGGTATGAAAAGGACTCCACCCCCTGTTGCTGGCCTAGAAGGTGATGGGAGGGGTGGGAAGAAGGCAGCTATAAGCAAAAGAATGTAGGCAGCCTTGAGAAGCTGAAAAACACATTAAAACATGTTCTCCCTTAGAGCCTCTGAAAGAGAATGCAGTCTGGCTGACACTTGATTTTAAATCCAGAGAGACCCATATTTAACTTTTAACCTACAGAACTGCAAGATAATAAATTTGTGTTGTCTTAAGACGTTAAATTTTGTTAATTTGTTATAGCAGCAATACAGTTATCTATTATATATGGAAGCATTTCATATATCTTGCTAGGTATGTGTTAGCTACAAAGAATTAGTTCTTGCCCTAGCCGGTTTGGCTCAGCGGATAGAGCGTTGGCCTGCGGACTCAAGGGTCCCAGGTTCGATTCTGGTCAAGGGCATGTACCTTGGTTGCAGGCACATCCCCAGTAGGGAGTGTGCAGGAGGCAGCTGATCGATGTTTCTCTCTCATCGATGTTTCTCACTATCCCTCTCCCTTCCTCTCTGTAAAAATCAATAAAATATATATTTTTTAAAAAAAAGAAAAAAAAGCATTAGTTCTTCATCTCCAGGATTTAATTATTCAGGGACTAGATTTAGGGAAATATTTTTTTTCCTGTTTTATTTACTGTGAATTTTTAATTTGTTCTTACTTTTTAATTTGTAATACTTTTTCTCTGTTATTTGATACAATTATATTTGTCTCCTTACTTTATATGTTTGTAGTATAAGGGGCTATAATATACTTGGTGTAATATGTCCTTCAGTTGGCTAAATAAAAAGATCTGTTGCAGGGATTCAGAACAAGTCACTCCAACATGTGCCTAAAGGCAACCAAGACCTTGTAGACTTAAGAGAAATTCTGCCTCTTTTAACTACCTAGAACAGGGGTTCTCAACCTGTGGGTCGCGACCCCTTAGGGGGTCAAATGACCCTTTCACAGGGGTTGCCTAAGACCATCGGAAAACACATGTATAATTACATATTGTTTTTGTGATTAATCACTATGCTTTAATTACGTTCGATTTGTAACAATGAAAATACATCCTGCATATCAGATATTTACATTATGATTCATAACGGTAGCAAAATTATAGTAATGAAATAGCAATGAAAATAATTCTATGGTTGGGGGTCACCACAACATGAGGAACTGTATTAAAGGGTCGTGGTATTAGGAAGGTTGAGAACCACTGACCTAGAAGAATCGAATTAGGGGCCTTTCCCATAGTAAGAGATTATCAGAGATTACCTTTTTTGACCTCTCTATATAGCAGGGCCAACTACTAATTATTAAACATCTGCTCTTCTTACCTTCCTCCTTTCTGAAGGCTCGAGGTGGTCCTTAACTCAGAATGTCATATATACCTCATTTTCCCTTTCTGTCTTTGAACCTTTCATGTATGTGGGATCTCTGTCTCATGTATACAGGGTTCCCATATGTATGTATGTATGTATGTATGTATGTATGGTATGTAATTAAATTTGGGCATTTTCTCTTGTTAATTTGTCTCATGTTTATTTGATTATTAGACCAACAGAAAAATCTTGAGGTTAGAGGAGAGTTTCTTCTTAGTATACACTGTAGAAATTATTTCAGATATGTATTAATGTAAAATTTGGGGACAGCCCTAACCGGTTTGGGTCAGTGGATAGAGCATCGGCCTGCAGACTGAAAGGTCCCAGGTTCGATTCCGGTCAAGGGCATGTACCTTGGTTGCGGGCACATCCCCAATAGGAGGTGTGCAGGAGGCAGCTGATCCATGTTTCTCTCTCATCGATGTTTCTAACCTTCTATTCCTCTCCCTTCCTCTCTGTAACAAATCAATAAAATATATTTTTTTAAAAATTGGGGGACAAATTTGACTTGTTTAGCTGTTTTTAAACTATAATAATTTTTCCTTCTGCTTCAAAATAGGTAGAAAGTCCTTTGGAAGAAGCTATCAAGTTCCTCACACCACTTAAGAACCTTGCTGCTGATAACATTGACACTCATCTATTAGCATTTGAAATATATTTTAGAAAAGGTAATGAGTTCAGTTTTTAATTATTTTTTATTTCTTTTTTTTTTTTAAATTAAATTTATTGGGATAACATTGGTTAAAAAGCCATACAGGTTTCAAGTGTGTACAACTCATCTGCATACTGCATCGTGTGCTCACCACCCAAAGTCAAGTGTTTTTCCATTCCCATTTTTCCCCCTTAACCCGCTTCCATCTCCCCATCTCCCTTTTCCTCTGGCTATCACCATACTGCTGTCGGTCTGTGTGTGTGTGTATACATATACATATGTATTTCTTAATCTCTTAACCTTTTTTCATCTAGCCACCCTTAATTATATTGGTGGCCATATTCAATATAATCTTGTCCATTAGAACTATTTTTGTTTTTAGGGTTCCATTTCAACCTTCCAAAAATAATCTTAATCCTTTTTTCTTTTCTACTCAAAATTTTACTGGGTAATAACTTAGAATATTATCATCAAATTCATTTTAAGAATAGTTTAAATAATCAAAATGTTTAAAGCATTTCTTCATGGTATTTTATGCTTTTCTTTGGAAAATTAAAGTTGTCCTTGAATTTTGCTTATAAATATTATAGGAAAGTTAACGTTTTGTTACTGTATTTTAAGTGAGGCTAAAATAAAGTATCAGACATAAATACTGATCCTATTTATTTATTTTTTCTGACACAGGGAAGTTTCTGTTAATGTTGCAGTCTGTCAAACGAGCTTTTGCCATAGACAGTAATAACCCATGGTTACATGAATGTCTAATTAAATTTTCTAACTCTGGTAAGTATAAACAAGATAACATTTATGTAAAAGCAGATGTGACAATTTAGCTATCTTTCATTAAGCTGCACATTAAAAGATTTATAAATTGTAAAGCAAAGAAAAAGATAATGTTTACAAAAAGCATTTAAAGGAAGGTAAGTTTATAAATTAAACATGCTTGCAAAGATAATACTAGAAATTAGTGCATTTTTAAGCGAGAATGTATTTATATTCCAAAGGAGCAATAATATTTTCACTTTGTAAAATATATCAAGCTTAATAAATGTATTTCAACTGATTTTGTTTCAAGGAACTGACCTAAGTTTTTTAAATTTTCAAATATTTGTTTTTGTAGTGTCTAACCATAGTAATCTTCCAGACATTGTGAGCAAAGTTCTATTTCAAGAAATGCAGAAGCTATTTTTCAACAAGGATTTGAAAAGTTTTAATGAGGATTTTCTCAAACATAATGCTACCTCTCTTCAGCATTTACTTTCAGGTTGGTATTTAAATCCTAGGGTTAAAATGTTTATGGGAAAAAGTTAGAATGTGATTTTAAAAAATAGTTTGGAAAAATGTTTAACTTCACTAATTATCAGAGATAAATAAACACTATGGATGCCCTCTTTCACCACTCTTGTTCAACATAGTTCTGGAAGCCTGGCTATCAGATAAGAAGAAGAAATAAAAGGCATCCAAATTGGAAAGGAGGAAGTAAAACTCTCATTATTTGCTGATGACATGATACTGTACATAGAAAACTCTAAAGACTCCATCAAAAAACTATTAGATTTAAATGAATTTGGCAACTTAGCAGGATACAAAATTAACACCCAAAAATCCATAGCAGTTTTATATACTAAAAATGAATTCTCAGAAAGAAACACCAAAAAAAAAAAAAGAAAAAATCCCATTTACCATCACAACAAAAAATTAAGATACTTAGGAATAAACTTAACCAAGGAAGTAAAAGACCTGTACTCTGAAAACTATAGGACGCTGAAAAAAGAGATAGAGGAAGATATAAACAAGTGGAAGAATATTCCATGTTCATGGGTTGGTAGAATCAACATCATTAAAATGTCCGTTTTACCCAAAGCAATCTATGATTCAGTGCAATCCCTATTAAAATACCAACAGCATATTTCACAGACCTAGAACAAACTCTCTAAAAATTTATATGGAACAAAAATGACCCCAGATAGCTGCAATAATCTTGAGAAAGAAGAACAAAGTTGGAGGCATCACAATACCAGATATCAAGTTATACTACAAAGACGCTGTGCTCAAAACAGCCTGGCATTGGCACAAGAACAGATATATAGATCAATGGAACAAAACAGAACCCAGAAATTGACCCCAGCCACTATGCTCAATTAATATTTGCCAAAGGAGGCAAGATCATACAGTATACATGTGCACTGATAGTCCGACAGAAAATTTTATGACTCCATTTGATATTATCAGTGAGACTTTTGCTGCTGCATCACTGATGACAGAGATTTTATATCAGGATTATATTTTGTGACCTTCAGAGATATGCATGAGCTACTACTTTCATCCGTCAGGCTACTCCTATTATGAGACTTAACAAAATTCATCACTGAGAACAAAGATTCACAAGCGTATGTGGATGAAACCAAAACACTGGTTGGATCTAGGAAGGCAGGGAGAGTTAAGGCAGAGGCATAGAAATTGCTCTTCCCCTCTTCGTCAATCCATGTCTATGGTCTTTAAGATAACTTGTTATGTAAAATTATTTATTTATCTAAGATGCACTTACACTGAATTTATCTGAAAAATAAAAAAGTTGATATTAAGAAAAAAATTGTAAATGGGAGATTATAAGAGAGGGTTTCGCGTGCCAGCAAAAGTTACTGGCATGCCATGTTTGGCACGCATGCCAGGGGTTGTCCACCCCTGTTCTAGAAGAAACCATAGGCACCAAAATCTCAGACTTTGCTCGTAGCAGTATGTTTACCAATACATCTCCTAGGACAATGGAAACTATGGAGAAAATAAACAAATGGGACTACATGAAAATGAAACCATCAACAAAATAGCAAGAGAGCCTGCTACATGGGAGAACATACTCGCCAATGATATCCTAATATATATATATATATAAAGAGCTAGATGCCCAAACCGGCAACCGGTCACCATGAAGTGCATGGAGCACCTCTCGGTTCCTATAGCGGGGAGCTTCCCGTAGCATCGCAGGGCAGCAGAGGCCATGCAATGGAGGCCAGGCTAGGCCTAGGGACCCTGACCACGCACGATTTCGTGTGTGCTGGGTTTCTAGTATCTGATAAGAGGTTAATCTCCAAAATATATAGGAAACTCATACAACTTAAATGGAAGACAAACAGTCCAATCAAAAAATGGGCAAAGGACATAAATAGACACTTCTCCAAAGTGGACATGCAGAAAGTCAGGAGACGTGAAAAAAATCTTTGAAGTCACAAGAGATGCAAATTAAAACTACAATGAGGTATCGCCTCACACTTGTCAGAATGGCTGTCATCAATCAATGACAAGTGCTGGTGAGGTTGTGGAGAAAAGGGAACTCTAGTACACTGCTGGATGGGAATGTAGACTAGTGCAGCCACTGTGGAAAACAGTATGGAGTTTCCTCAGAAAACTAAAAACGGAACTCCCATTTGACCCAGTGATCCCACATTTAGGAATATATCCCAAGAAACCCGAAACATTCATCAGAAAGAATATATGTACCCATATGTTCATAGCAGCACAGTTTACAATAGCTAAGTTTTAGAAAAAGCCTAAGTGCCCATCAGCAAATGAATGGATAGAAAAATTGGTACATCTACACAATGGAATACTACACAACAATAAAAAAACCAAAACTTTTACCATTTGCAACAGCATGGATGAACATGGAGAATATTACCGTATTTGCCGGCGTATAAGACGACTGGGCGTATAAGACGACCCCCTAACATTTCCACTCAAAATACAGAGTTTGTTATATACTCGCTGTATAAGACTACCCCCTCTTCCGCACACCTTCCACACACCAAATAAAAGGTAAAACAATATCAGATTTGATTTTAACATTTTAATTTATATTCAAATGCTTATGACATGCAGGAAAACTGTCACAAGGCTGTATGTAATCAAACATATACATAAAACAGTGCAAGTTTATTACCGGTAAACATACCGGTAATTCACTAAAGAAAACACACTCTATAGACTGGTACCGTAGATGCTTCTCAGGAACACAGGCAAGCAGCCCACAACCTAGAGGGACTGTCAATGATAGAAG